TTTTGCTCATCACCCATATAATACATGACCAACAAAAATCTTTGTACCCAGGCTAGAGACCAGAACGCATCATGTTCACTTGTGTAAACTACAAAAAGCAATTCCTTCATACAACATTCCATTGTATCCCACTCAAAACCATTGTATGAGCAGTATGTTTGATAGATGGATTGATTGACTAATTCTAGTATCCACCTGAAACTATACTTCGGCATTGTTGCCRTGGGAACAGAACAAGGACACACATATCTCCTGGATATGAGGCTTGACGACGACATGGAAGAATTCGATGAGTGGAATCCCAGCCAGATAGAGCTGGTAAATAGTGACAAGGAAAATATTGCAGCATTCAGAGAGGAGGCAAGAGCAAGTGGCACGCATATTGCTGTCGAAGTTGAAGGTATTTATTGTAAAACGTACAGTATACTCATCTAACAATAAAAGTTAAAGTTACAAAACTAAAGATAATAGTTGGTCAGTAGACAATGGACTATTTCAAAGATACGGCGGCCATGTTGCTAGGGGGCAAAACAAAATAAAGATGACAGAAACATATAGAAAATATATATTTCATGCATTTCTCTTACTTTTATGGGTAAAGGTGATTGATGTGTCGTCTTAATCTTGTGTGGTATTTGTAATGTAATAGGATTCCTGTGGTAGCCTCGCTTCCAGGAATAAAGCATGCTTCCCAATCAAATATGGTGTCCTAGTGTTTATAGTTCTATATTCAGTTAATCATCCATAAACATTGAGCTTAGAAAAACACTACAGTAATCTGTCCATATCAATCAAAGTCATTACTGTAACAAAGCTTTAAATGACCCTGGATGCTCCATAGTGCCTTTCGATCCAAGATGGCCACTGTATCTCTGAAGTAGTCCATTAATGTCTGGCCAATAATTGGTACTGGTTTGACCAAACACTTCATAGGCCGATCCTCATTTATGATGCAATTCCCAGGACATACATTCAAAATGACAATGTCTTTCAACTGTAGGTAAAAGTCACAAGTCTGGAAAATTTAACTACCGCAGGCCAGAATCTGGAGAGAAAAAGATATATTCTTCAGGTATGGAATAATGAAAKGAAAACAATAAGCTTAATAGTATTAACACTTTTTTGTTGAGTTCCTAGAACTTGTTCCTTCCTTACAGGCGAATCAACCATGYATTTAATTTACATGAGAAAAGAGGTGTGAACTTTATCCTTAGTGCTAGGATCTTCCTATCTGCGAGACAGGAAGATCCTACTGCTAGGAAGATCCGTGTACCTGAAAGAAGCCTGCCAATGTGCACGTAAACGGAAAGCAATAAACGTCTTGTAGGTTGATTCACCTGCAAGGAAGAACCTACCCGTAGGATAATCCTCCTCCCTTGTAAACAGGTCCTTAGTCAAAAACTAAACTAAACTAAACTAAACTAAACTAAGCTAAGCTAAGCTAAGCTAAGCTAAGCTAAGCTAAGCTAAGCTAAGCTAAGCTAAGCTAAGCTAAACTAAGCTAAGCTAAACTAAACTAAACTAAACTATCTAAACTAAACTAAACTAAACTAAGCTAAACTAAACTAAGCTAAACTAAACTAAGCTAAGCTAAACTAAACTAAACTAAACTAAACTATCTAAACTAAGCTAAACTAAACTAAACTAAACTAAACTAGAAGATAAAATGAAATAATATGGAACTGGTTGATTTTTGATTTTTTCAATACTTTCATCTTGTTATTTAATTTGATTAACTTTTATGAACAAGCTCTATCAAAAAGATCAAAAAAATAAAGTATTTTGTAACTCTAGCCATTTTCATGTAAATTAAATTGATCTTACTTTCKAATAATGCTATTTTGCAGGTGATATATTTGTAAGTGCTGTCAAGTACATACGGCAAGCTGGCTGTCTTGTGATTGGATACAATTTTGGGTGTTTCCAAATATGGGATCTTAATGCAATGATTCTTGTGTAAGTACATTAGTAATGTTTTCCCATTTCRGACCATGAGGCACTCTCTTCGGAATATTGAGTTACATCCACATATTCTTGTGTCTTCTCATGGCCAAAGATGATACTCTAGGGAATGACGTGTAATCTGAAATAAAACAACATTATGCACAAACTATTTATACTTAGAGTGGTTACTGTATGACAAATAGCAAATGATAGGGCAGATTCTTAGACAGTTAAAATGTACTAAGGTCACTTAAAATCAAAGTTTGGTATATGGCATTGTCGCTAATAAACCTTTTAATTAGCCTGGATGTAATGCTTACCCATTTCAGACCACATGTTATTCCTAGCATATCATTCTCTTTGTTTATAGTTGCACACATGAAGACAGTCACATAAATATGGACACGACTCAAAYATGGAATCTTATTTTCAAGAGGCTAGCCTAGCTAGAGAATCAAAACCTGTTTATTTTCCCCTAGTCTTTTAGCGTCTCAGCTCAGAGTTTCTCTCTCTTTGGTAGTATAATGTTATATATTTAACTGCTGGTTGTATTTTTACTGGTTTATTACAGGTATAGCAGTCAGATGGATCAGTATGAAATGTCAGCCATTACGCATTTTGCTTATCAGGTAATGAATKTCATTCAAAAAATGCACAAATATACTAAATAATGTATAGCCTTTACTCTTTATAGATCGTTAATATAATGAAAGAGAAAAAAAAAAGACAGGAATGAGAAAAAGAGAAATGTTCTCAGGGCTCGAAATGGCTGAAACACATGCCAAATGATTTTGAAGWGCCAACTCAAAAAAAGTTATACACCATTAAAAAAACTACACAGTTTAGTATGGTGATCAATTAGAATTACACAGAGTAATTAATGCTTCATCCAGGCCCTTCCTAGATTGAATTAGAATTTAGGAGTTGATTTTAGCACAGGCAGGAAACCTGAGAACCAGGAAAAAACCCTCGAAGCACAGGAGAAAACCAACAAACAACGACCAAAAAAAAGCAAAGGAAATTGATCAGGACATTTTACTGTATTTCATGTTACTCCTCTCTCCCTATAGATGTCTGGCACTTTTTATATTTTTTTGTTTCTTAGAGTACTGAAAACTCTTAGTACCACTTATTCTAGGTAAAAGGTTTTTCTATGTTCAAACCAATTCTTAATTGAATTTATCAGGAACCTGAAAATGATCCTCGTTGCTGTAGTTACCTATGGGTTGCACGTGGACCATTGACKATAGAAGATGAGCCACAGACGGAGGTCCCCACCACCCTGACCTTGTATCAGCTGATATTTGCCACMAGAGAAGTGTTGCCTGGTTACGGCATTGTTTATAAGGTATTTTGATYAATTTGTTATGTTTCTGTTTTTGTTGCCGTGAGAATCAAAATATAATTGCAATAATTTCATTAAAATCATGTTGTCCCCAGCTGAGTTGAATATGATTAAACCAATGATTATAAGTCAAGGTTATCTAGATGGGTTTTTAGGACTGTTTTTTATTATTACTGAAAACAAATTTAATATTTATTTATAATTACTGTACACATAGCTCTACATTGGGAAATTACTGYAAAATATTCAAATTGTGGAAATTCATATTGCTTTTCAACCAAGGTCAACTTTATTCCATGTATGCATATGCATTTCTTTACAAGTCTGTCCATCCATCCATCCCTCCCTCCCTCCCTTGCCTCCCTCCCTCTATTCATCTGTCCATCCATCC